TATCATACCCAAACTTCTAAGGAAAATACTCCCTCAATAACCTAATCTTGGAAGTGGGTAACAAATTATTAATCATGTTAATGGATTGCTTAAAATTTTGCTAGGTGTACAAAGGCTAAGACGGCCAAGCTACAAATTAAAACTTGCCTGACAAGGAAAATATATGAATCCAACAAACAAGCCTAACTCATGAGCCAACAGCCAGGACAAGGCCCATAAATTATACAATAACCAAACCAATTATGACCATGCAAATTCTAATAATGAATATAGCATTTCAAGAGGGGGATTAATTTTGAAAGATTTTTCAGTGTGCTGGTAATACATTTTAGTACACCAAGTGTAAAACTCAAAAAAAAAATCCAACCAATTGTACTCGTACACTTGGTTTACCAAGCCGTGTTTATGATGCACTCAAAAACTTCTCCTTCCAACCCTTACTACTCTCTCCATCATACCCAAACTTTTGAGGAAAATACTCCCTCAATAACCTAATTTTGAAGTGTCATCCTCTATGTCGTACGGTTCGTCACACCTAAGCTAAGTGATCAGGCATAATGCAGTCATTCCTAGTGAACTATGTAAAACATTAGTACTCATGTTAATGGACTACTTAAGATTTTGTGAGGTGTACAAAGGCTAAGATAGCCAAGCTCCAAACAAAAACTTTCCTCACAAGAAGTAGGGCTGAACCCAACAAACAAGCCTAACCCAAGACCCAAGAGCCAAGACCCACGATAAGGCCCAGAAATATAGGTCTAAGCAAATATAAGTTATGAAACAACCAAATCAATTATGACCATGCAAATTCTAATCATGAAATACATAATTTCAAGAGAAGGGCTTAATTTTGAGAGTTTTTCAGTGTGCCAGGAATACAATTCAGTACACCAAATATAATAATACAATTTGTTGAAAACTTGAACAAAAAAGTTTCACCAATTGTATTCATATACTTGGTTTACTGGATCGTGTTCCCGACACACCGAAAAAGTTCTATTTGATTCTCAGGGAATTAGGTAAGTGCTTAAAGTATTAATCCACATCTTAATTTGGCCAAAAAAAACTATACCCATAAAAAAAGGTGTAGTATCAAACTAAATAAAATAAAAATCAAATATACATGCTTGAAAACAAAACAAAAAAACAAAAAGAGACAATTCTGATAGGAAAATGTAGGAACCATATCAACAATGTAATATATCAATTTCAACTGAGTCAATCCAGTGGTGAGGGTAAGAAGGGTGATGTGTAGGAAGAGGCTAAAGATTCAGAGTTCGAACTCCTCCTTTGGAACCGAACAAAAGAGCAATATTTCAACTTGAGGAGAATTAGAGCCATTGTCTGTCCTCAAATGTAGATGACAAAAAATGTTGAGCCAAAATAGGGTTTATCTTGCCTCTCGGAGCTCAAACTTTCCATAAGCTCTCTAATTTTACCAAGAAACGCTCTTTACAGAAATACACATAAATTTTGTTATACCAACTCTATATAAAGACCTTCAAGTTTAATTCTTTGAATCAACAGTTCTCTTTTTTATCTCATTTGTTTCACACACGCGTGCACAACCATATAGACATAAAATCAAGATGGAACATTCTGGGCATTTGTTTTCAGCTGTCTTCATCCTCTCCTCCTTTTGGTAGCTATTGGTATGTTTCTCTTTCCTCATCTTAGCTTCATCTTTATACCTAACAATGAAACAAAATTTATATAAGTTGAAAGAAGTTATGATTTTGAATACTCATTCTCCTGTTGATGTAAAAGAAAACTGGAATTTATGGGTTGATATATTGATGCGTGTTTGATAGGAACGGGGCCAATGGTTGCTGAGGGAAAGACAAAAAGGAAGTCATCAAAGAATGAGAAGTCGTTGAAGACCTGTGTGTCTTCGAGCCATAAATACCGCGGCATTTGCTTTAGGTCAAGCAATTGTGCAGCTATATGCAAGAAGGAGGGATTTATGAGAGGTAAATGCACTGGTTTCCGATTGAGATGTGTATGCACTAAAAAATGTTAAGCCATACAAAAACTGACGCATGTTTGGATACATGCATGGGAACGAATGACCTTGTTTTTTTGTCTAGTTTGTTTGAAAGAGAAGAAATGACTGAACCCTAATTCAATGTGGGGGTTTCTGTCCTTGTATTGTTTCTGTGCGTTAACAGCACATGAGTTATTTTGCAATAAAAAAACCATTGTACTAAAAACATCATTGCATACAAGTGACTCTTTACCATAATAGTAGAAAGGTATTGAGTTCTAACAAAATCTATTGTTTGACAAAAAAAAAAAAATTGCATTAGTGAATGCATTACACTGATACCTTTTTTTTCAAATAAAAGGATTGTCTTCGGTCTAGTGACATTTCTCTTCATTTGTAAGTGAGAGGTCTTAGGTTCGATTCTCGCCAAAGACGAATTTGAACCACATTATTGATAGCTCATTGTGAGGCTTAACCTACCACCACCCCTTTAGTGTAGATAATATTGTATGTTTAAAAATAAAAGAATCATCTTTTATTTTTATTTTTAGAATAAATACAGTTAAATCATAATTTAACTAATTCTAAAAAATATTAAGTTAACAAAAAAAATAAAGGTTTTTATCACCAATGGTCCCTGAGATTGACCAAACTCATCATTTTGGTCCCTCACTTTCAAAATCAGTCAATGTCGTCCTTGACATTCACCACCGCACATCAATTTGGTCATTTCGTTTAGATTCCGTCAACTATTTCTGTTAGTTTGCATGTGGGACCCACAAATCCAATAAAATGGTGATACGTGGATTACACAAAAGAAAGGTTTTTATTAAAAATGGTCTCTGACATTGATCAAACTTCTCATTCTGGTCCCTGAGTTTCAAAAATCAATAAATTTGGTTCCTGACTTTCACTATCACACATCAATAGAGTCCTTCCATTAAAATTTCGTCAATATTTTTTTGTTAGTGTGTTGATGTGGTTCTACTAGTCCAATTATATGGCGCCAAGTTCATTAACTATAAGAAACTAATTTTTTTAGAGTGAACCAACTAGCGAGTATTCCGCGCTGACATTCTCTAGCATCTCACAATTGCGATTGGAAAATAAGATTCAATCTAAATTCGATAAAATCGAATCCAAATTCAATTCAAATTTGATAGGATTATAACCAACTTGAGAGAATGAGAAGTGACTTCACGGAGGACAAGAGCTTTAGTTGTGTCATGGTGCGTTCTTTTTCTTTTTGAGCATACCTAGATGAAGATGATGATGTCTTTTTTTTTTCTTTTAGTGTTTGTTTTTAATTTCTTATAGTACTTTTAGTTTTAAATCTTTTTTTTAGTTAATCCATGTGGCGCCATATGATTAGACATGTGCCAACCCGTCCCTAATTTTACGATTTTATTAATTTTAAAAGAATGAATTGACGAAGATGCCCCTAGAGGTGAGAGCGTTGACTTTCGTTGACCATCATATAGTGAGACGTACGAAATATTCTTTTAGCGTATTTATGAAGTACTAGATGGTACGAACACGTACGCGTAAGCGGAATTGAATTTAGAACAAAAACAGAGATATTACGAAATTCAAAACGTAAGGGTATTTTGGTAATTTTACGAGATCTTTTCCACTTAGGACCATTCCTTAGCTGACACGTGGCAACCTCCCCCCATTTTGGGGGTATTCTTCCTGATTCTCTTTCTCTCTCAATAACCTAAAAAAGCAATATTTTAATTTGAGGAGAAATAGAGCCACTGTCTCTCCTCAAATGTAGGATGCCAAAAACTGATAAGCCAAAATAGAGTTTTTCTCTTGCCTATTTGAGTTGAAATTTCACCTAAGCTCTCTATTTTTACAACGGAACTCGTTTTACAGATCATACACTTAAATTTGTTCATACCAACTCTATATAAAGACCTTCAAGGTTAATTCTTTGAAGCAATAACTCTTTTTTTATTTCATTTGTTTCAAGATGAAGTGTTCCGGACGTTTGTGTTCAACTGTCTTCATCCTCGTCGTCCTTCTGGTGGCTATTGGTATCTTTCTCTTTCCTCATCTTAACTTACTCGTTTTACCTAACAGTGACATAAAATTTATATACGTTGAAAGAAGTTCTAAGTTTGGATGTACTCCTTCTCCAGTTGATGAAATAGAAAAGGGGTGTGCTATCCACACACCCCATTTTACTTCTCACACACTCCTTGATAATTTTTGTCCGTTGATTTTCTTCAATTCATCCGATCCGACGACTGAAAATTAAAAAGATGTGCGAGAAGTAAAATGGGGTGTGTGGATATCACACCCCAATAGAAAACCATGATTTTTATAGGTTTGATGCATGTTTGGCAGGAACAGGGTTAGCTGAGGGAAAGATAAGACATATGTCGAAGGATGAGAATTCGTTGACTTGTGAGTCTCGGAGCCATAAATACCACGGTCCTTGCTTTAGGTTTATTTTTTCAAGCAATTGTGCAGTTACATGCAAAGGAGAGGGATTTACAGGAGGCAAATGTAAGGGCTTCCATATGAGATGTATATGCACTAAACAATGTTAAGTATAGAAATTATGGTTTTAATTTGTAATGTATTTCATGAGTTTAATGTACAAGGGGTCCAAATATATATGAGAAAAAAAGAGAGATAGGAAATAAGACTAATTACTCTAGTGCCTAGAGCTATCCCTAGAGAACATGGTAGCTCACCAATCAATCACATCCCTTAAATCAAGGAAAGAAGACTAATTACTCTAGTGCCTAGAGCTATCCCTAGAGAACATGGTAGCTGACTCTAGAGGCCAAAATACACTTCAACATTTCAACACTCCCCCTCAAGCTGGATCGAGGAGGTTAACTGAGCCAAGCTTGCCTAATAATCGATAAAACTGAGTGGATGCCAATGCCTTTGTAAAGAGATATGCCAATTGATCATGGCTTCGTGTGAACATGGTCTGGATGATTTGAGTTTGAACTTGAGCTCTGATGAAATGACAATCCACTTCAATATGTTTGATTCTTTAATGGAACATAGGGTTGGCAGCAATATGCATGGCTGCTTGATTATCACACATAAGTGACATAGGAGTAGAACTAGAAAACCCTAAGTCTGAAAGAAGCCCTTTAAGCCAAATGAGTTCACAAGCAGTGGTTACCATGGCTCGATACTCAGCCTTTGCACTGGAATGAGCAATTACCTGTTGCTTCTTGCTCTTCCAAGTGACAAGGTTTCCACCAATAAATGTACAATAGCCTGTGGTTGATTTCTTATCAATTGCATTACCTGCCCAGTCTGCATATGTGTAGCCACTAATGACAGTGGATTGATTGTTGTGCATAGTAATTCCTTCCCCTATTGAACCCTTGAGATAACGAAGGATTCTCATAATAATGTTAAGGTGATCAACAGTGGGAGAGTCCATAAATTGACTAGCCAAGCTCACTGCATAAGTGATTTCTGGACGAGTGATGGTGAGGTTTATGAGCTTGCCTACTAATCGTTGATAGTAGGTTACATCATGCATGGCTTCTCCATCTATGCTGAGGTTCAGTTTACAATCAACGGGAGTGATAGCAGGCTTGCAGTCAAGCATTTTTGCTTCTTGAAAAAGGTCTAATACATATTTCCGTTGATGTAGAAACAGTCATTTTGAAGATGTTGCCATTTCGATCCCCAAAAAATACTTTAACCTCCCCAAATCTTTGATAGCGAAAGTTTGATGTAGTGAGAGTTTTAGTGCCTCAATCTCCACGATACTATCTCTAGTGATGATAAGATCATCAACGTAGATAAGGACCACCAACTTCCCACTGGTGCCAGTTCTCATAAATAACGAAGAATCAACATTACTTCTCACGAATCCAGCCTTTTCTAGAACAGAACTGAGTTTAGCATACAAAGCTCTTGGTGATTGTTTCAATCTGTATATTGCCTTATGCAATTTGCAAACCATGTTGCCTTTGATACCATCATAGCCTGGAAGAGGTTGCATATACATTTCTTCCTGCAACTCTCCGTGAAGGAAAGCATTCTTCACGTCCATTTGGTAAAGTGACCACCCACAATTGATTGCAACTGAAAGTAAAACCCTGACTGAGTTCATCTTGGCCACCGGTGCAAATGTTTCCTTATAATCTATTCCAAAGGTTTGGGTGAAACCTTGAGCAACAAGTCTAGCCTTGTGTCTCTCGATAGATCCATCAGCTTTGAATTTTGTCTTGTAGATCCAACGACTTCCAACAACCTTTTTTCCTGGTGGTAGTTGAACTAGACTTTAGGTGTGATTCTCTTCTAGTGCACAAAGCTCTTCTGCCATGACTTGTTTCCATTAAGGGAGAAGAAAAGCTTCTTGAAAGCTTCTTGGTTCAAAGTGCTTATCAATTTCACTAAGAAATGCAGCATGAGATGTTGAGAACTTACTAAAGCTGATACATTCAGTGATAGGATGTTGTGAGGCATATGTAACATAGTCTTGCAACTTAGCTGTAGGTTTTCTGATTCGAGGAGGGTTTCTCTTAATCACCTGAGACTCTGTAGTGGACTGAGAATGATCAGAGTAGGGCTCTTCTTCACTCTCACTGGCAATAATTTGGTCAGTTTGTACTTCTTCACAATCTGGACTCACAGTGACTGATCTTTCTTCCAACATCGGATGATTAAAGTTTTGAGGGAGTGGGAACATGTCAACTAAATCCTCCCCCTGACTTGTAAAATAGGGACAGTTTTCTTTGAACTTCACATCTCTTGAAATTGTGCACTTCTTAGTGACTAGATTGAAGCACTTATATCCCTTTTGGGTGACCGAGTATCCCATAAACACACACTTGGTTGCCCTAGCATCTAGTTTGTCACAGTTCAAGGTTTGGATGTGAAAAAAACAAGCACAACCAAACACCTTGAGGTGTGTCAAATCTATTTTCCTCCCTTTAAGAACTTCATAGGGAGATTTAAACCCTAGCACATGACTTGGAAGTCGATTGATGAGATAAGTGGCAGTAAGGATGGCAAACGACCAAAATTGCTTTGGAACATGCATGTGAATCATGAGAGCACGAGTCTTCTCCAAGAGATCTCTATTTTTCCTCTCGGCTACTCCATTTTGTTGAGGAGTCCCTACACAGTTGGTTTGATGTATGATACCCTGAGAACTTATGTATTGAAGCATGTTGTTGGATAGAAATTCAGTGCCATTATCTGACCTTAAAACCTTAATGTTTGATTGAAATTGTGTTTTAACATGCATGTGAAAATCTTTGAAAATGGTTGGGAGTTCACTCTTTGATTTCATAAGATTCACTCTTTGATTTCATAAGATATAGAAAACTTGTTCGAAAGAAATCATCAACAAATAGAACAAAGTACTTAAACCCTTCCATTGATTCAGTTGTAGGTCCCCATACATCGGTGTGTACCATTTCAAAAGGTTTACTTGTCCTAGACATTGAATTACCAAAAGGTAGCCTAGTAAACTTAGAAAATTGACAAGTATCAAAAGTAGGATAAGGGTTACAAAATTTTGGAAACAGTTTAGACAAGACAACTTCAGAGGGGTGGGCTAATCTCCTATGCCAAAGTTGGTTTTCATCTATGGACTTTGATTGAGCTTGAAAAGCCTGAGTGAAACAGGCATTCTTGCACAGGTAGTACAGTCCATTTATGAAGACCCCTTCACCAATCATCTTCATGGTGAGAACATCCTGAAATATCACATTATTTGGTGAGAAAATAACATGGCAGTTTAGAGTGTTGGTGATCTTTCTAATTGACAAAAGTTGGAAAGGAAAGGTTGGTACATAGAGGGCAGTGGAAGGTATTTTTTGAGAGAGTAAGTTTATTTCTCCTTTTCCTAAAACTAAGATAGTTTTTCCATTTGCAACAGACACATGCGAGGGACTTGAATTTTTATTTAAAATGATGTAAATTTGTAACTTTGTTTGTCATATGATCTGTGGCGCTTGAATCAATTATCCAACAATCAGTCTCAGTACTAGTTAATAGGGCAGTAGTGAAGGCTTTGAGTATACCTGATGCTTCTCCCTTTGGAACTTTCTCATTTCCAGCAAGAAAGCTGGCAAACTGTCCTAACATAGCTGTGTGACTACCCTCTTCATTGCCTTGACCATGTGAGCCTCCTTCGTGTCCCATGCTTTGTAGGTAAGCTGCAAATTCATTGATCAGTGACAATGGATTGGTAGTGAACTCCATGGATCCTTGTGAGATAGTAGGAGGGTGAGCATCAGCAAGTTGTGCCTTGAAATGAGGTTGAAATTGTTGTGAGGACCTTGGTATCATCTTTCCATCTTTGCTGAACTTAGGCTTAAGTTCAGGATGAAGTTCCCAACACTTGTCTTCCACATGACCAACACCATTGCAATATTTGCATTTTAGATGTGTGTTTCTTCCCTTGTATACCTTGGCTTCTAAATTCTTGTAATTTGATCAACATTCATAACCTTCTTCCTTGCTTCTTCTCGTTGGATAGTTGCACAAACATTATTAAAGGTAGGTAGGTCTTGACTCATCAAGATGTGACTCCTTAGGTCCTCGTACTTAGAGCTCAAACTCCCTAACAGCTGATAAATTTTGTCTTCCTCAGCTCGTTTTAAGATAATGATCTTTGCAGAGCCATGCATCGTATGTAGAGGAAGAACGGTCTAGAGCTTCCACGCTTCCATTTACAAACCCTAACTTCCCTTTACCTCCAAGAGCTAGTGAAACAGCTCGGGACCAAGGAAGATAATTGAACTCGTTTAAGAGAACTGAACATAAACGTTGATTGGTGTTAACCTCAACATTTGAGAAGTTTAGAGAGAGACTATGCTGGATTTCCTCATCATGGTTTATAGAACTTTCTTCAGCCATGACTTAGACTTTGAAAGACTAATTACTCTAGTGCCTAGAGCTATCCTTAGAGAACATGGTAGCTCACCAATCAATCACATCCCTTGAATCAAAGAAAGAAGACTAATTACTCTAGTGCCTAGAGCTATCCCTAGAGAACATGATAACTGACTCTAGAGGCCAAAATACACTTCAACACTTCAACATTAAGTCACACGAAAACTAACGTAAGTATTTTCGAAAATTATATATTATCATTATTATGTTATAATATTTAATTTTAAAATGTGAATGTAACCTTTTACATCAAATAATTTTATATTCAAAAGGTGCCATTCTTTTTGAAGCGGCACTAAGGTTTGCATATGAATTTTTTTTAAGCGGAAAAGAATAAAGGACTGATGGATAGCCCTTAGCCAAATGTCTCCTGTTTATAGATATAAAGTTACATTTCTTTACCAAGCAGTATTTGAGTTCTATATAAACCCATGAATTCTGGTTGTGTAAAATAGAGAATTAGTGAGTCAAATCTTATTCTTGAGAAATAGAATTTCTCCATTTTGTTTCTCTCATTTTTTGTTGTTTAATTCTGAGTCGTGTTTTGAGAGTACGACATGTATTGGGTTCACTAGAGTTCGAAGATTGAATTGTTTTGACTTCGGATTATAGATTATTGAATCTTGGGAGATGGACGCCTACTGAACTATAAGCACAAAAGTAGAAGCGAAATTATGTCTTTAGGACAATGCATATATCCAAGCCTCAATCTCCAACTTTGTAAATATTTCTAACTATCTCTCTAGTTCTGTGTATTGATCTCATACATAATTGATGTTGTAATTTTCTTTATAATTACTATCAAAGAAATTCTTTGTTATTCTCATATTTTTTAAAGTTGCTCCAACACGTATTGGGATGCATGCGTGGGAACAAATGGCCTTTTTGTTGTTTTGTTTGTTTGAAAGAGATTATGATTGAACCCTAATCCACCAAGTGGGTTTTGATGTGTATTTAAATTAATCTAAATAATAAATTAATTTAAACTAAATTAAACTCGCAAGCGTATGAATCAATTGTAGTAATATAAGCAAATACGAGGTCGATTCACATGGATTGTTTAACACCAATATAACTTATTAACCACACTAGACTTGATTAAACAAACAAAGGATAATTGAATTGAATAATTGAAGGATAACTGAGTAATTAATTAAGACTAAAATTAACAAGAAAAAAAAAAGACACTTAATTAAAATAAACACACGACACAAGAAAAGCTAAGGTTATGAATTAACCAATAACGATCCTAATTACTTTTCCTAGAACCAACTAGTATCCAATTACCATGTCAATGTTAAAGGTTGTTCTTTCTAAGGTATGAATAAATCCGTGGGTAGGTATCAACTCTTGTATCTCTATATGATAACTATATCATATTGGTAAGATAAGGCATACAATTAAACACATTAAAACCCATTAAGCATAGAAGAATCATGTCAACCAAGTAGGACTAACTTGATATCGGTCATCCTCACTAGTTTATCTACTCTTCTTAATCTTAACTCCAATAAACCTAATTGATTAGTTATTCTCTTAGATTTACTGTCATGTCCCAGACTTTGGGTCGGTAAAATAAAACTCGAACCCAAATCCAAAACATGAGTTAAAAACTAAATAAATAAAAGGAAATTGAAACGGGTTGGAAAAATAAATTCCTCTTATAAAAATAACTCATGATTCTTAAACAAATCA